TGGGGGCCATGGGAATCATAGCAGGATAAACTGGGGCTACCATTGGCGGATAATATGGTAAGGGCATAGGAAAGGGAGCTACACCATTTGGACCATGCTTCAGCCCAGTTTTGTTCTGATGCATCGGGTGGAGACCGGGCTGACGCGGAGATCTCATGTGACCGCGTCCATGAAACTTTTGCTGCTCTACTGTAGCCTGTCAGACGAAAAGCAAAGCTGTCAGGCAGGATTACTCATGGCGTACTAATAATGCATATCAAATCAGATGGGCCTTCTTTTTCCAATGAATATAAATTCTCGGCACAACAGCAGGTATTTAGAGTTAAATGAGAGCTGACACTTTTTTTCCCCATGAAATATTTATTTTCGGCAATCTGAACAGTTCCAGTTGAAAGGACTAAATAGACCGTGGTAATAGTTCAGAAAGCAGAAATATTGACCGCATTTTATGCCACGGTGCAAGTTCATAATTTAGATCTTAAACATTTGTGGAACTAATATAGATATATCATAAGGCGTGAGCATTATATACAAAGAATGATCGTAATTGAGAAGTAGATTTAGGAACTAGTAATCTGACAAAGATTGGTGAAATAAAAGAAGGGAATGTTGATGCATGAATTTAGCGATGGTGAGAGCAGTGATACGTTTATTGCTTGACAGTTAAATACTGAAGATTTTTTTAATCAAGCCAACCAAAAGGAGTCGTTCTTTCCATTTTTCAGGTATAGAGGTCACCAACTGAACAGGGAAATTGTTCAATGTCTAACTTCTGATAATATGTATTTTGCTTCCTTTATAGTTCCTAGTAGCTAGTCTGATTTTGTTGATACCGAATCCCAGTAATAGAAGATTTATCAAACTCCCATTAAACACGTGGCGTGACAAAATAAACACTTCTCATTGTTTGCTTTCAGAAATGCATTTGTTTTTTCTGATTGTATATTCGTATATGGAAAAACATCGCAGCTCAAGAAATTTTAAAAAAAGTAACCAAAAAGATTTTTTCTTCTCCTTCCTCATACAACTCAAACCTGTAAATAACAATTCTTTCTTTTTTTTAAAAAAACAAAAATCTTTCTTTTTTTCTATTTAACCATCTGAATCCTGGCCAATAAGAAGCTTTACACATACATGTGAAGTAACACTGAGTAAAATAAAGAGGGGCGTCTAAATAAGCTCAATGCAAATACCAGCTGCATTCAAAGATAAGGCAACAAAATTAACCAACAGCGGAAAAGAAATAAATGGAAAAATAATGAAATTTAGGTGATAAAGGTAAAAATACCACAGGTTGCGCTGGCGGAGGAGCAGCACCACAACTCTCAGACTCTGCCTGAGCGGACGCTGGGGACTTGCCGGAGCTGGAATCGACGCCGCCATTGTTCTTAGCCCGCTGCTGGGCGTCGGAAAGCGCCGGCCACGACTCCGAATCAGCTCCCACCACCGGAGAAGCAGCCGTCGGAGTCTTCCACGGCGACTTGGGGGTGCCATCGGCAACCACGTCGTTCTGGCGATCAAACTGATCACCACAACCATCACTCTCTACCATCGCCATACTTATGAATAAACAAGTAATCGCGCTCAGAAGAATTAAGTTCTTTTAAAGAGAGAGAGAGAGAGAGAGAGAGAGGACGAAGAAGAAAAATGGTGGAAGAAGAGTTGAAGCTCTAATAAGCTAGAAGAATGAAGCTTTTGCCTCTGCGAGATGAGTGATTCTGCAGGGAGGCGTGGCGCTTGCGGCGGAGAGAGACGGAGGGAAGGTAACTAGAGAGTGTGCCTGTGTGTGAGAGAGAAAGAGTAGAGAGAGAGAAAGGGAGAGACAAGGACTAGGGTTACAAAAGTTTTCACACCAGTATTGACTGCGAGTGTATGAGAGAGGGCGCGTGGGTGGGTTTCTGAAGATTTAGTGCACGTGTAGGGGTAATTTTGTAATTTACATAAATTTTCCTTTTTTAGTTTTCGTAATTTGAATATTTGATTTGTGATTGGAGGTGATAATATTTAGTCAATTGCATTTATTTTTAGTGCATAGTAGACGAGGGTCCAAACAGAATGCAATTGTTTTCGTAATTGGGCATTTATGTTTTTGTAATCTGTCATATTTAGTCAGTTAGGCGTAATTTAATTATCTTTTGGTTAATATTCAAAACAAACCACAATATAATTCGATATTAAGTTCAATATTACGTGGACCAAATATACGATAATGTGTTTGTGTTGAGCGATTTTTTTTAAATTAAAATTTATAGACAAATTATTAACTTTATCATTTTTATATTGGGTTTATTGGATTTTTCTAAATAAAAAACTATAAGAGAAATATTAGAATTTAGAATATAAATCACAATATAATTCGATGCACAACTTGACTGAGGGATATAAAGAATTGACAAATGTACACTCAATCTTACGCCAATCAAAAATATACAATTATGGGTCAAGTGACTTTTTAAATGGAAATTTATTGAAGAAATATTATTTTTTACCATTTTTATTTTGGGTTGATTGGATTTTTTTAAATAAAAATCTATAAGAATAATATTAATCTATATATATCATACAAAGAGGCACCCAATAAATCTTAAAATAGTCATTAAAAAATAATAAGGATTCTCGCCTAAGAATTTAATAAACATAGTAACATTTTTTAAAAAAATTGGAAAATCCTGTCCAAGCATAATTTGAAATTTTCGGTCAAAAATTTAATTTCAAGCATTTAAGGAAAGGATTTACTGCACATTTTTTTGGGTATATTTCATCTTATTTTAAGTTTCATATAATCTCTTTATCGTAACTCAAGATTAATGTACATTAAATATTTATTATTATTATTATTATTATTATTATATATAATATAAAAAATACTATTTCTATAAGTGTTATAAATAATAATAATGACATTCTATGATAATAAATTTTAGAAGAAAATAATATTTTGAGTATTATGATGAACAATTGAGGAATCAAAGTCAATGAAATATGACTTTGGAGTGAAGGATTGGAAAACAATCCTTCGATGCTTTCAGTCGATCCCCTTTTGTTGGTATTTTTCATCATATTTGAGTTTACAAAAATCGAAACTTAGGTAAATGCTTTAGAAAGAAAAAGATATGTATAAAAAGACCTTATTTCATTTAACCCCTTCATGCTTACTATTATTAGTTATTTCAGTTTTCTATTGGTGGCTTTAACAATAACTTCAACTCTATTTATTGGTCTAAGCAAGATACGACTTATTTAAAATTTCTCTGTTGGAGGCGCGGAAGGAAGTGCTTCTAGTCGATTGAAGGTGAAAAGACTCCCCTCACTAGAAGAGAGTGAAATTAACCTTACTTATCCATTTGAGCCATTTATAAGGGCCCATACCTATCGAGAGAACATACGTTGAATCGTTGTCACCGAGCATGCAGGGATATACATAAGGCTTTCGCAGGCCCGGCGAAAGTATAAATTATTATTTTTTTTTATCAAAAAATAAATACATGTGTTAAAATATTATTTTTATTACTATAAACGGTTTAGCGGGCTAATATAACTTTAGAATTTTTTATTTTTTTTAAAAAAAAGTTTTAAGGTACAAAAGCTTTAGTGCATCGCACGGGATGCTAACTAGTTTTTCAATATAAAACAATGTGATATATAAATATATAATTAGTTGTGATAGAGGTACATAATGACTATGTAAACACATAATTGTTGGCAAAAAAATTATGACAATGGTTTTCGTTTTCCCCTTCTTTTCTGTACACTTCGCATTAATCAAGTAATTATTTTTTTTATTTTATTATATAATAGCTACTATTAACTAATTATAAAGTCATATTAAATAATATTATATTATATTCTATTTAAACTATTTATTTCAAATTATTATTTTGCTTTTAACTCATTAAGCAAGTTTTTTGTATAAAGTAGTTAATTTTATGACATAACCAAACGCTTTAAAATTTCATGCACAATTGTTATAATAATAATTTCAATAACGATTTATCTAATTAATTTGTTCATAATTAGTCAAGATTGCAAAAATTGTATTATTGCAACCAGTATAAAGATTTATATGTGCATTCATTTATAAAATGATAAAATTTATAAAATGTGATATGCTCGTTATTTAACCTAGGATTTTAAATATTACATACACAAAAAAATTTATTTAAATCTGTATATATGCACAAGATGGAATACTAACTATATAATCATGATGTTTAATTAAAATTAAGTATAGAAACATGAGAGAATAATAAGATCGGTTAATAGTTTATTTTACACAAATACAGTCGTAGGCTGTCTAACCCTAGTCCATCCTATTCTCTTACACAATTACATGCTTATACTAGAGAACGTCACTCTTTTATTTATATATATTTTAAATTATGATATTTGAATGTAAAATTACGTATATGAATAAAAACAATTATGATTGTCTAACCATTAAGAAGTTCAATACAAAATCTACCATTTTTGCATGGTAAT